AAAAAAAAAAAAAAAAAAAATAGTAGTTTGACAGGATCTATTTTCCAGAAATATGTTGATTTGGCATTAATTACACTGCTCTACAGCCAAAATGCTTCTGAAATAAATGTAGTCAAACTTTACTAATTCTTGGTCACTGAGAACGAAAATGATGCTTAAAATTGTTGATTGGCTCTAGTTTTCAAGATATGCTATTGGGTCAGTATATACGACCCTTGACTTGGGAATGGCAGAGGATAAGTGAGTTATAAAGGGAAGGGATCTCAATTTAAACCAGAAATGACTAAAATACATCTTTGACTGGATCTATGAATAAATCTATGACTGGGTTTGGACAGTACTTGCTTTTTAGACAAAACAATGAATGATGCAATCTGAAGCTGGTATTGCGTCATACACGATATGAATTGCATCATGTTATTCCTAGAAGTCATGGATGATGCAATCATAACGAAGCTTACATCACTCTGCTGAACAAATTGCCCTATATCAGCTCTAGAAATCATAGTGTCGTGCTCTCTTATTTGTCAGTGTTTGATTTTTGCAAAGGGACACATTTCTGTTTAGCCAAAGTGAGCAGAGATGCCTCGTACTTGTGTGAACAGTGCAGATAACTTCTGCTATGTTTGTGGTGAAGTGACTTTTGCATCACAAAAGCGCAGTATAACCACCATGGTTAAGAAAGCCTATCACCTTTATTTTGGCTGCAAAATTGGAGATCAGGACAAGAGGTGGGCCCCACACATATGCTGCAACACTTGTGCAACAAATCTTCACCAGTGGTTGAACAGGAAAAGGAAATCTATACCTTTTGCAGTGCCAATGATTTGGAGAGAGCCAACAGATCATACCAGCAATTGTTACTTCTGCATGGTGTCTCCAGTTGGGAAAGGTGTGTCAAAGAAGAAAAAGTGGACTGTGCATTATCCAAACATTCCATCAGCTATACGCCCAGTACCCCACGGAGAAGGACTGCCGGTTCCTGATGCACCAGAATCAGTCTCACTTGAGTCAGACGAGGAAGAGGATGAAACTTCTGGTCCTGAACCATCAATGTCACAGGACCCACATTTTCTCCCATCCTCCTCCTCTGAACCACACCTCATAACACAAGGTGAACTGAATGACCTTGTCAGGGATTTGGAACTACCCAAGAGTAAGGCAGAGCTGTCGGGCTCCAGACTACAGCAGTGGAATCTCCTGGCAGGTGATGTTAGGGTTTCCATGTTCCGTGACCGTCAAAAGGATCTTGTCCCATTCTTCTTCATGGAAGGTGATCTTGTAGCCTGCAACAACATCGATGGTGTGATGGCAGCCCTCAACATTGTTCACGATCCAGATGAGTGGAGACTGTTCATTGATTCATCGAAGACGAGTCTTAAAGCTGTTTTACTGCATAATGGCAATGTTTTGCCATCAATTCCAGTTGGTCATGCAGTCCATATGAAGGAAACCTATGACAACATGAAACAACTTTTGAGGTGCATAAACTATGACCAACATCAGTGGCAGCTTTGTGGCGATTTGAAGGTTGTTGCTCTCTTGCTTGGTCTGCAGACTGGATACACAAAGTACTGCTGTTTTCTCTGCGAATGGGATAGTCGTGCAAGAGATTCCCACTACATCAAGAAAGATTGGCCACTCCAACAGTCATTGGAGCCTGGGAGGAAAAGTGTTCAGCATCCACCACTTGTTGAATCAAGGAAGATTTTGTTACCACCCTTACACATCAAGCTGGGTCTGATGAAGAACTTTGTCAAGGCCATTGACAAAACACAAGCAGCTTTCAAGTACCTCCGTGGAAAATTTCCAAGGTTAAGTGAAGCTAAGATAAAGGAAGGTGTCTTTGTTGGTCCTCAGATTCGTGAACTTCTTCGAGATGATGCATTTGACCACGCAGTGCGTGACAAGGAAAAGACGGCATGGAAAGCCTTCCAGTTAGTGGCAATAAATTTTCTCAGAAACAACCAGGCAGACAACTACAGGTTGTTGGTGGAAAACCTCCTCAGGGCATACAAAAGCCTTGGTTGCAACATGTCACTAAAGATAAATTTTTTGCACTCTCATCTAGATTTTTTTTCCACCAAACTGCGGAGCAGTGAGCGACGAGCACGGCGAGCGATTTCACCAGGACATTGCAACAATGGAGAAACGCTATCAGGGCAAATGGAGCCCATCAATGCTTGCAGACTATTGCTGGACAGTGACGAAATGCTCCATTTAATGAATACAAGAGACAAGCCAAGAAGCGCCGAGTAGACACTGAATAGGACTAAACTATGTACTGAATAGTTTTTTGCCTTTTGTTTCATAATAAATTTTATTTATATAACCCTTTTGCTGATTTTTAAAGTGTTACATAAACAGGACAGGTGAAATATTATCATGTAAAGCAACCATAAACACATGAAAAGACCTAGGTTTACAATTTATGATTAAAACTCTACTATCTACACAATATACATAGACATAAAATGTAAAAACTTAAATATCTTAGAAACAGTAGCCAATCAGTTGTTTTAATTGTCCTATTTGAATTCAGCACATCAAAATACATAATAAATAGCACATTTTATCTCTGAAGCAGATGACTTCTCAAAAATTGTAGACCAGTGTTATATTACCCTACTTTTATTCTTCATTAATCAAGTCCCATATCAGCTGCTTCATTATTTTGCTTGGGATTTATGTCAGACTGACAGGCCTGACTGACAGGCTTGTATGTCTGTCTAATCACGCAGATCATCCCGCTTACCCTTGTTAAAAATTGAGGTAACATTAGCTTTTTTCCAGTCTTCTGGAACTTTCCCAGTCTCCTGCGATTTATTGAAAATCAACATTAGCGGTCAGTCAAGCTCCTGAGCCAGGTCTTCTAAAACTCTTGGCTTCCAGCAGATCTGTTCCTGGGTCTGCAGAGGCCACAGTGGGACGTGCTGTCTGTACCCTGTAATGCTGGGGCTGATTGAAACTCTTGAATGTAAAACATTACAGGGGAGCAGCTCTAGGTATGTGTTTTCAATAAATGAGTAATCTTTTTCTTAATAAAAATAGCACCTGTAGCGCACACATTGAATATCACTAGTCTTGAAGCCATAAAGAAAATGATGTTCCTAAGCAAATTAATGTAGTGGACCTAAGAAGTCACAGTATGAAATACTGAAGAAATGTTTGGAGCAGTTTTTTAGTATTTGCTTCTCTTGTTTAAGAAGGCTCTTTGTCCAAAGGATAGGAGCCAAACTGCTCACATACCACCATAATTCTTACCACTAACACCATTATGTATAGTCTCGAAGCCCTTCAAGAACTCAGGCAATGTGAGCTGAATTTCGCAAAACTCTACAGGTATTATTAAAGGATAGCCCTCCCCTCCTCCCCCCCCAAAAAAAGCCCCTCTTTGAAACAGGTCTAGGGATTGTTCCTTCAGCTCCTAACAGGAATGAAAGGAAGCACATTCAGCTAAGAGCATTAGCAATGAAAGTTCACACTGGCAATGATGTAATAACCTTTATATGTATTTTTCTTACAAAAAATGACTAATACAGTGTTTATGAAAGATTAGAGTTATAAAAGAATGTTTTTAAGCTCCTTGACGGTCATTTTTAATTTTCGTATCCGTGTCAATTGGCGTATTTTTTTCTTTTAATAGTTTACAAAAATGAGTAAGACAAATGGATTATCAGAAGATATTATATGGAACTGCAAAATATTGCTCAAAGAGAGAGACGTGGTTCTAAAACTCATGAACAAATGTGAAGACATTTCAAATAAATTGACAAAACAAGTTACCAGGATCACTGAAGATGGAGGATGCGGATGGAATATAGAGCAACCTTCCATTCTGAATCAAAGGTACATCTGAATACTATCTGGCATACAGAAAAAAATATTTGATTCTATGGACATGTAAAGGCAGAGATTTTCAAAAATGTGAGCCTGAAATTAGGTGTTCAAGACCGTGTTTAGGCACCTAAATAAATGGACTGATTCTTTTCAAAATGGTTGAACACCCAACAGCCCCCTTGACTTAAGTAGGAACTGCTTTGTGCTCAGCACTTTTGGGAATCAGTTCCTACTTACCTTAGATACCTGAATAGAGTTGAGAGGTTAGGAACCTATTTTTGTACATCTGACCCAAAAGGATTTCCTTCATGCTTTAAAAGGTACATGCACTGGGTTGTCATACGTTTACAAAAAAAAAAAAAAAAAAATCTTTGTGGGAGGGACACAAAAGAAGGTAAAAATGGGAGTTTCTGCCATCATGTGTGAGGGAGACTTATTCATGCATTAACTGGTAACCCCCAACTTTTTAATACAAGTTTTATTGAAATGTTATTAAAGAGTCTCCGCAATGGCTTAGGGTATTGTGCATTACAGGCTTTAATAGAGCAAAAAACCTTCCACTTTACTGCTGTTTTTATTTTAAAAATAAAAAAGCCTGGCTTTAGCGTGTCTAAGAGGATGGCATTGGGTGTTATTTATATGGCTGGGATGTGATAGAGAGCCATGGGATAGCCAAAGCACTGTACTGTTAAACCTGAAAGGGTTGCTGAAGTTGACTTGATGTTGATGTAGATGCCCTGATGTTGAGAATCCGTCAGAATTGACTCAACCTTTCAACTTTCCAAAGCAGATAAAAATAAGTTCTGTGCAGTTTGCTGTATGGCTCTGTTTTGAATGAGATCTTGCAAACTGAGGCCTTGATTCTACAAGCTACTCTGCACAGCTTGATGCCTAAACCCACCAAGGAGCCCCTTTTGACCTCAGTGCTGTAGAGCAGCCCACCCATAGCGAGCAATTTTCAGGAATCGAGCGTAAGGTCTTGTGCGCGCTATATGGTCATCAAAAATTCCCTGTGTGTAGTGTATAGTAGTAACTTTGGATGGACTGTTTACACCTCTGATTAAAAGAACAAATAGATATTTTTGTTGAATTGTTTTGTTTTTGGTGTAAAATAAAAATAGTCAAGAGCTAACACTTTCACAGGGTGTTTAGAACTGAAAAATGGATTATCATTCTTGACCGCATACCCTACTTTTCTTCTGTAGTCTCCTGTTCAGTTTTTACTTCTGAAAATAAACTTTCTAAAGAGGGTCACTGTATGAGAGATTACTAATAAGTTGTTCTGCTTTACCAATAGGTGCAGCTGCATCACAGATTCTATAATAGAACTAAAATGGTTTTTCCATGTTTTTAAATAACTATTGTATGCCAGTTACTGATTTAAAAAAAAAAAAAAAGACACAATATAAATGGGCTAAAGGAAAACATTATAGTTTCATTGTTTTAAAATAATTATTAAAATGTGTAATGGATTCAAACAACTAAAAACAATTTTTAAACCGAAGTGACATTTGTTTTGTTTGTAATCATGGGCTGGGAGAGACTTTCAGGACTCCTGAAAGTGAATTCTTGGTTCCCAAGTGGGCCTCAGGTGGAATAAATGGTAGGAAATACTACAATAAACTGTTAGGATGATAATTGTAGAAATGTATTATTTTTGTGATAATCTTTCATATAGAAACAATCAGAAGGGGCTAAAATTGTAAACTATTCTGTTTTTTCAGTATGGAACTCAAGCCCTATCAGAAGATAGGTTTGAACTGGCTAGCGCTACTGCATAAACATGGATTGAATGGTATTTTAGCTGATGAAATGGTAAGTAGAAAACTGAATATTTAAGAAATTTTAAACTGCTCATCTGACCTACTTTTATCTAAATAGTTCATATATTATGCTTAAATGATGTGTTCCATAACCACAAATTAGTAACTTGACATTGATTTAGTTGAAAAACTTTACCAGTGGAAAATCACTTTAAAACTGTTGCTTTGAATCTTTTTCCTTTTCTTAAATTAATTGTGAGTTACTGTAGCTGTAACTAGTGAACTATTACTCACAATCAAAAGTGTCTTTAAATATTCTGAGGGCTATGCCATTAATATTTATTGTAAGTCAGAAGTAGAAATGAGATTGTGAGACAATTTCATTCATACTGTATTGTAAAATTAATTTAAATTTGGAAATCACAAGTTCCTTTGTTTTACGCAGTTACTCAAATTGCAATATCCCTTTACGAGAGAAGGGCTTGAATTTCATAGCGTTGGTTAACTGGGGATCAGATGATGGTTTTGGGTAGTGGAAGCCACTCACATAGCAAAAAGGTTTCTTGAACAAGTAGATGTTTCTCACTGCGATAACATCATACATTTCAGGTGTCTAGTACCAGATTGTAATTTAACCCATAATAAATTTTTCAAATTCTCTTCACCACTTCTAAAACAGCCAGAAGATTGTGAGAAAGGTAGACTAGCAGAGACCCTATCCTCCCCCTAACTTCTCCCTTCCTTCCCCCCCAGCATTTGTCTGTCAGCTGTGAACTCCCTTCTCCCTGTGTCTCTGGGTTTGAAATGGTTTGAGAGAGAAGGTTATGGATTTCTGGGTTCTTAAGTGGCTGTCACCTGTAATTCTGACACTCTCTTGGTTAAATTTACAAGAAGTGATATGCTTGGTGCTATTGCTGTGGATATCTCATTGGGACTCAAATAATGTTCCTTGATTTCCAAGTACTTCACCCTACACTTGACATGAATCCTACTAATACTTCTGTGTGTGGGGTAGATAAGTATTAAGTATTTTAAATAGAAAACACAAAAAGACAGTACAGTAAAAGTTGCTAGAAGCCTACTCCTATTGCGAAGAGCTTTCTACTAAATTTCTCTTCAGAATCCTCGTCTATATCACTCTTGTTGTAAATACATGGAATACACTTTACAAAGATGGTCCTTTTTATATAGGGCACTCAAAGGAGTGCTCTGGATTCCAAATAATGGTCTGCACATCAGTACCACAGGCTGTGGGAAGACAAGTAAAAGGGGGCGGATAGATTAAAATTTAAACTAAAATGAGAACGTTATAAATGGATAAGAATAAATGAAAAGACAGATTAATCTGTAATGAGGTAAGGTTCAGAGGAAGAGAGTCATTAAATGATAGAGGATGATTACTCTCATATTCAGGTGAGTTTCAGGAAGTATATTGTCTAAAATATAACTGTTAAACACTAATATTTTTTATTTTTGTTACACCTTTCCTCTGACCATGTGTAAACACTTGAAAAATATTAAGTTATCAACTCATTAGTCCCAACTATTCTTACTTTTACAATGACTATATCAATTTTAGTTTAAACTGTTAATGTTTCTTCCTAGGGTTTAGGAAAAACAATACAAGCTATAGCATTCCTGGCATACCTCTACCAAGAGGGTGATAAAGGTCCTCATTTGATTGTTGTGCCAGCTTCAACTTTAGGTAAGTTAAGGATTTCACAAGTATTTGTAATGAAATAAAACAATCCTGATTCACTAATAAAAAGATTCTGCAGATTGAAGTCTTACGATCACACCTTTATATATAAATCATGTTTACTTCAGAGGAAAGTTGGTGATGTAATTTCTTTACGATAATGTTGAGTTTTCTAAGGGTATGTCTACACTGCAATTAGACACCCATGGCTGGCTCGTGCTAGCTGAGTCAGGCTCACGGGGCTTGAGCTGCAGGGATGTTTAGTTGCAGTGTAGACTTCTTGGACCTTCCCACCTCGCAGGCTCCTAGAGTCCAGGTTCCAGACCAAGCCTGAATGCCTACACTGCAAAGTAGCCCCGCAGCCTGAGCCCAAGTCAGCTGGCATGGGCCTGCCGTGGGTGTCTAATTGCAGTATAGATATACCCTCCGTGGTTGAAACTAACACTGTTAAACTGAGTTGAAGCCATAGTCTATATTGATACTGAATTTCTTTTAAGACACTTGCATTGAAATTACAGGTTGTAGGTAGGTACAAAAGTGATAATTAAAAAAAATATTATGTATGTTTTGCAAAATGCAGCTACAATTTTAATGCAGTGCTAGTGTGTTAATTTTACTCTAACTTTGGTAGATTCCGGTCACTTAACACAGAATAAGACTGATGTAATTGGTGTTTTATTTCTCTACCACGATCACTTACCTTAAGGGTAGATTTCATTTTTTAAAAATATTACCGGACCCCTTTTGCACTGCAGAATCCCTCGCAAAGGTATGCCAGATCCCTAAAAATGACTGGCTCTGTGCAGAGCTATCAATCTCTTGTTTTTTCATGATTATTAAACTCGCGGGCAATTTTCCTAATTTTTTTTAAAGAACAAAATTTCCCTTACCGTAAAACAATTTTGTGGAATTTTTTAACAACTTGTTTGCTTTGATGACCCGTAGGCAAGATTTATAGTTGGATAACTTCCTAGCTGATGTTTAAATAGAATCATTTATAACTTCCAGGTTTTAAACTGCCTATTTTTATTTACGGTATTGTGTAGCTAAATAGCTTGTCTCTTTCACCAACAGAAATCGGCCAGTAAAAGATATTACCTCACTCAGCTTGTCTCTATTTTAATTTAGACCCTCTTGCTTGTCTAAAATAGCTTCATTTAAATGTGCATTTTTACAATTGAGTCCATCTATTCCAATAATTAAAAGGATATCTTTTCTTTACATCTGAAAGATGTACAGTGAAAGATCTTCTTTCTTGGATTTTTAAAGTGATTTTTAAAGACTTGTGAAAGGTGCCAAATTTATAGCTCTAGAGATGGTAGTCCTTGGCCAAAAAACAGGTACGGTGTGGGGAGTGCAAGAGCAAGGTATCTATAGCTGTGTTGTCAAGATACCTCAATCCTGTCCTAAAGGTCCCTTCTAGGAGGCTATAGGGTAGTTCAGTCTCCATCCCCATTTGGTCCTTAGACCTGTCTGCAGAGATGCCAGTTGTGATGATTTGGGCATCTGTCCATTGAGACCAACCCATGTGTCACATATAACCACAGCTGTCAGTTTGACTCAGTAAGATTGTCAGCAACAACTTTTAATCATTATCTGCCTGGACTTCAACATAGATGTGAAAGAATTTCTATCACTTTTCCAATTCCCGCATCAAGTTTTGTGATGAGGCACTTGTAAATAAAGGTCTCTAGAAATAATTTTTTTAGAGAAATAAATGTCCATTCGGCCCAGAGTCTGAGTATTCTGCACTGGGAAGTTGAGTTTTAACTAATACTGTTTTATATCAAACATCATGATGTTAATGAGCAGAAAAAAATTGAGTCCTTGTAAATTTACATCTAAAATGTGAGCTGTACAGGAGTAATGAAAATCCTCTTTAAAAATGTTGCCTTGAATTATGTAAAAAACCTGGCCTTTTCTTAATCCCCAAGCTCCTGTATATTAGCTTCCAGTGAACGTGGGAAATATGTAGTACCTTTGTCAGCTATTTTTAACATTGCAAGATTTTATAACACAGAAATTTATAAAATAATATCACATTTTTGCTTCAGTATAATTTTATTTGATTTTTAACTGATTTTTAGTCTAGTGCTGAAGAAACCTAAAATGTGTTGTGAAGTGTATTAGTTTATATAAGATTCATATATTGCTTTCTAATAATCTTTTACAGATAACTGGATAAGAGAGGTTAATCTGTGGTGTCCTGCTCTTGATGTCCTTTTTTATTATGGTAAGAAATCTATTAGTCTTCAAAATACAGAAGCAAAAACATAAGTTTTAAGGCTAATCTGATAATGTGGCTGCATGTGCAACATAATAGAACATGAAATAGACATTGGACAGAGTTTTCAAGATAATAGTTTAAATACAGATAGTTAATGCACAAAAAATATTGTACTAATGTATCTATTTTTTTCTTCCTGTAGGATCCCAAGAGGATCGTAAGCAACTCAGAATTGACATTAATAATAAAGTTGTAAATTTCAATGTGATTGTGACCACGTAAGTACTGTAATTAAAAGAAACCAGTAAATGAAATCAAAATGTTGCTCTACTGACCTCTAGTGGTATTACAGAGCATCATCAACTTCTTGAATATAGAATCGTATTTCAGCTCTCAAACAAGGAGTTGAATTGGGTCAGCAGAGAGTACTGTCCGTTGATTTTTTCAGTCTTACTGTTCACATGGCCAGTGTCAAAGCTTAGCACCTTTTTTGTGGTAGATATGTAAAACCGCTCTGACCCACAGCATGGTACTGCTTTCTCTGCCTTTAGTCAATACAGAAGGAAGAGTTTAGAATACAACCAAGAGCTGTGGGAGCTACACAAGGAATGCCACGATCACTGGTAGCTCAGGATAGGTGGAAGAAGCTCACAAACTATTGTGATGTTGGATATCAACATCGTATAGAGTACTATAAGATGTTGTCTTATGGTGACTAACAGCATAGGGAAGAGAAGGGTACTGGAAAAATATATCCGAGATTTCTCCTTAAATGGAAGACAGCTAAAGGGGAGTTGAATGAGGAAAGCTGTGTATGGGTACATTCCTGTACATGCCACTGTCTAGATTTGACCATTATGGAGAATTGTAATTGATTGAAAATGCAAATTAAAGTAAAAGGCCCAGGAATTCTCTTCCTTTGGAAAGTTTTGAAATATCTTGTGCAATTTCCTTCCTTTTTGGAAGTTAGACATTTCAAGATGAAGATTTTACTTAAAAAAAGTAAGCTCACATTCATCTGTAATTTGCCAGTGCCAAATTGTGTTCTGTAACAAACAAAAAAAAGGCAACTGTACCCTAAAGTCACCAGTATCATTGTATCCCAAAGTCCTTCATGTACCCCTTGTAAATACACAGTACAAATACTCAACATTTGCAAAATGCAAACATAACCTGCTTTGGGCTTTTTACATCTTTTATCCCATCTGTATAAAAAATATTGGGGCTTATGTGTCTGTCCTCATTTGTGGCTCTCAAGCCCCTTCATTCTGCAGATTGAAGCCCCCAGATTGTTAAATCAAACAAGAATGTGCCTTGTCTTCAATATTTTTGTACTATACTTTCTATTAAATATTTTTTGATCTCATAGGTTTTCTACTTTTCTCTCTTTTTTTTTTTTTTTTTTTTTTTTTTTTTCTATTTTTTGTTTGATTCTGCCATTGACTTGGCTTTATACTTTCAGATTTTCAGCTGGTTAGGTTTTCCTTTTCTTAATCTAAAGCTCCTTTCAGTCCCATTCTCCCTTCTTCCTATGTGACTGCTTTCCTGATTACTTCTTCCTGCTCCCACTACCTCTTCCTCAGAAAGACACCTGTCAGGCACTCATCTTAGGAATGAAGAGTTAAAGGTGAGGCCTGCTCACCAGACATAAATTGGAACTGATTGATTGATGCAGGGCAGAGGTTCTGGTGTCAGACAGGACCATGGGACCATCCCCTAACTAGATGGAGGAATGTGTAAATGCAAGACCAGTTGTCCCTTGTGCTGTTGGAGATGGGAAGGAGTCATTAAACCTGTTTGGAATTTAGTTTAACTACTAGAATCTGTGTTGAAGTTCATAGGCACACTTGCACCTCTTTAAGTGCATGTTTAAAACTTAACAAACCTCTACACATACTCAGTAATTTGTAAACATGCATAACTTGGTTCTCGCAAACAACTTTTTTAAGCCTTGAAACATTCTCAGTTAAGACTACTGAGTTTAAAACCTCAGAAAAGTAATAGCCCTCTTTTTAAAAATGAGAAAAAAATATTAACAAAATAATGTGAATATTTTGAGTCAAGAAATGTGTGAATTTCACCTTCACAGAATTCTGATGGCAATAAGGATTTTGCTCAGAATGTAGTAGACCGGGGTGGGCAAACTTTTTGACCTGAGGGCCACATCTGGATATAGAAATTGTATGGCGGGCCATGAACGCTCACAAATTGGGGGTTGGGACCAAGGGGTTCAGAGGGCGGGATGGGGATCAGGGCTAGGGCTGGGGCAGGGGGATGGAACATGGGGAGGGGGCTGAGGGGTGCAGGCTCCAGGTGGTGCTTACCTCACGCAGCTCCTGGAAGCAGCGTCATGCCCCCCCTCTGGCTCCCACGCAGAGGCGTGGCGCTGGGCGGCTCTGCATTTTGCCCCGTCCACAGCCACCGCTCCCATTGGTTCCCGGCCAATGGGAGCTGCGGGGAGTAGCACTTGGGGTGAGGGCTGTGTGCGGAGCCCCCTGGCCCTGGCTGCCCCATGCTGCCCCTACACATAGGAGCCGGAGGGGGGACATACCACTACTTCCAGGAGCCGCACGGAAAGCCCCCGACCCTGCTCGCTGGAGCACGGAGCGGGGCAAGCCCTTGCTCCCTGGCAGGAGCTCGAGGGCCGGATTAAAAGGTCCGACAGGCCGGACGTCGCCAGCGGGTGGTAGTTTGCCCACCCCTGTAGTAGACATTGAAGTTCTATATTGAGAATTGATTATGCAGAATATCAGCTTCTTTTTTGGTATTCTGTAATTGTCAGCTCCAAACTGTTGTGGTTGGTCTCTTTCAAAGATACTGCTTATTGGGACATTATCATTTTGTTTAAATGTCTGTTATGTCATACTTTTAGGGCTTATAATTTAACTGAGTTTAAATTGCAGTATACCCTGTGTTAATAGAAGTATTAAACATTCACTTACTATGTATTCCTCTGACAGGTATAACTCTGCAATTAGCAGTGCAGATGACCGTAGCCTGTTTCGCCGTCTGAAGCTTAACTATGCAATCTTTGATGAAGGTCACATGTTGAAGAACATGGGTTCTGTACGCTACCAGCACCTAATGACAATTAACGTAAGAGATTTTTTTTTTTTTTTTTTTTTTTTTTTTGGAGTAGTCCTTCCCTCCATTTACTCGCGGGGGCATGATGAAATTTTGGTCTGAAACAAGAAATAGAATTCTTAATATAAGGCATTGTATGTTACAAATTTAGGAACATGATTGCATGCAACTAAATGCCAGTCTGGATATAGAACTAGTTCGTACTTTGGTAACTGTAAATGGAGATTTATTTCCCAACTAAATATAAAGCATCTTCTTCTTACAGGGTCTCTCTAAAGTAGTAGTCAAATTTTAGAATTTTGCTTGATCTCAAACTCTTACACTGAAATATAAATTGTCTAAGATGCAATAACCACCTGTAAGTAGTTCTCAAACTATGGAAAAGAGATTGTGCCAAAATGATAGGGTACTTGGGTGTGTATGAAGGGTTTACTACTCTGGTTAATATAAATCATACAAATTAAGAGTTGTAAGAGGTATGTGTGTGCAGTTCTAAAAAGAGACAATAATTATGCTGATGAGCTGTTTGTTAACCTATTTGAAAATATGCCACGGTCTAAAGTTGGGGGAGGAACAAATATGAGGATTTCAGGAATCACTTTTCAGCTACAATTGACTTGAAAAGAAGTAAGGTATACAGCAAATCTCATGAGGTAAATTTCCAACTTAACCCTTTCAAAAATTTCCAGTCTACCCAGCATTTCTTGCAGAAGAAGCAAAATGTGGCTGTAAGAAAGATCATCCATTCAGAAAACTTGAGGCATGTCACTAGGTGGGGCCGAACATCACTGGAAACTAGTCCATTTGATGCATATTGTGGGCATGAAATATATGGTTGAAAAAAGGGATAGAACTGAATGCTAAATTCCTGTCTTCTGTGACTTTTTCAGCACAAAATTTGCCTAAGCTATTCTTTAGAAGGAAAATGTTAATTCCTCTGGTATTCATTTCATGTTATTTTTGTGACTTTTCATATTGGCCGAATAGGCAAAGAATCGTCTGCTGCTAACAGGCACTCCAGTTCAAAATAACCTGTTGGAATTAATGTCTCTATTGAATTTTGTCATGCCACATATGTTCAGTGGTAGCACCAGTGAAATCCGGAGGATGTTCTCTTCAAAAACAGTAAGCAGTAAAAATACTTTTTATTTCAAAAGGATACTTTCATTGCTGTAATACTCCTCTTTTACATGGTTTGGTTTAGTTATTATTATTTAGTTATTCCCAAGTTTTGGGAACTTGGTAAACCCTTGAAAACATCATATCCATACAAACTAAACCAAATGGGTGAAATTGTATTGTAGCTCGGTGTCCCAAAACTCTTGTAATTTTTGGTTACATGAGACCAAAGGAGGGCACTTTTTTCCCTTTTCTGGCTCCTGGGTGATTGTCTCTCAGGTTGGAGCATGCAAACTAAGTAGTAATAATGGCATTAATAGAGTTGAGAATTTTCACATTATAAAACTTTGAATTTTTTCTAATATTTTTCTTAGAAAGCTGCTGAAGAACACAGTATATATGAAAAGGAGCGGATCGCTCATGCGAAGCAGATCATAAAGCCATTTATCTTGAGAAGAGTAAAGGATGAGGTAAATCTGTTAACTTGCAGCTATGCTAATGAATCTGAAGTGGTGGTGTAACCATGTTGGTCCCAGGCTATGGAAGACAAGGTGGGTGAGGTAATATCTTTTATTGGACCAGCTTCTGTTGGTGAAGAGGACAAACTTTCGAGCTTCACAGAGCTTTTTGTCAGGTCCCTCTGTGAAGCTTAAAAGCTTATCCCCTCCATGAACAGAAGATGGTCCAATAAAAAATATTGCTTCACCCAACTAGTCTCCCTCAATGAATATGAAATAATTTTATTTTTGTAGTGTAAAACATTGAGAACTCTTTTAAAAGGTAACACAAGAACTTAATTTTAGGAAACTTAATAGCAGTGAAGATATTGAAAATTCTTATAGTATATGCAAGAACCTTCTGTAAGGTTTGGGTGACATTTTCTTGAGCCTCTGTCCCCTACCTTAGACCCAATCAGTCCACTTCTCCTCATCACCAGAAGTCTACAACTCCTTCCCAACCACCCCACCCCACCCCAAAAAAATGAGGCTTCAGCTACTTCTCTTCTTCCATGAGTTACTCTTCTTTTCCTCATAGAACTTTACTTTTTGCCCATACTGTTTCTGGTGCTTATTTGTTTCCTGCCTCTTTCTGTTTACAGTATTGTAAGTGATTGTCCCGATGGCATCTCTGAGATTTGCTGTACTGTTAAGCTGTAGCCAACAAATGAGTGGCCTCACTTATCACAAGTGCTATTCTGCTTCACAGTAACATCATTTTAATCAAAAGATTAACTGCATATATATGGTATAGCTGCAACTGTGGGTTTAAAGTATCTTGGGGTCCTCAAAGCCTTTTTTGTTCTGTTTAAGAACCCAAAGACCATTAGGGTGCTTGGTTCTGTCCCTGGTAGAAGTAGCTTGTCACTGGCCCCATCCATCTAGGATTGCCTGCATGTAAGAATTGAACAAATGTTAACAGCATTCACATTCTAATGTGTAGAAATTTGATCTTAATCTTGCTGACATTTCTTCTTTCCCTGTTTGTTAATGTGTTCCCTTCACTGCTTAGTGTCATCTGTTACTAGTTAATCAACGAACCCTAAGCAGAGATTTGTCTGATAAGCAGGAAAATACTTTTCAAATATTTTTTAAAATATTTCTTCAACTTTGAAGTCTATCGACTTCAATTCTTAGGACATGATTCGAAGTCCATTACGGTCAGTGAAAAGACTTAATGGTTTTTAATGGTCTGTGGATCAGGCCCCTAAAGAGTTGCTCTTAAATACACATTGTTGCAGTTCACCTTGTGGGCAAAGCACAATTTCAAACCATTCAGAGTAATCATTATTCACTTGAAATTTTTATCTTGTCTCATCAGGTCCTTAAACAACTACCCCCCAAAAAAGATCTTATTGAGTTGTGTGATATGTCAGAGAAACAGGAACAGCTGTACTATGACCTCTTCAACAAACTAAAGAAATCTATTGACAGCCAGGGTATGTGAGGGTCTGGTTGTTTTTCCCAAACTGTCTCTTAAATTGTACTAAGTTTTTGATTTGTGGAAACATCCAATATTCATTAGTTTTAGAAAACTCAGGTCATAGTTGCATAGATTAAATGTTCAATTTTTTTATTTGTTTCATTAAATCAAATGTGTGGAAATGATGGCAATATTTTTTTGGTCATAGAAAAAAACTCAGAAATGGGCAATGTCATGATGCAGCTGAGAAAAATGGCAAATCATCCTCTCTTACACCGCCAGTATTACACAGCTGACAAACTGAAGATGATGTCAATGCTTATGCTCAAGGTACGCTCATAGGATTCACAAACGTACTGTAACTTCTCTGAATTCTTCTTTTCAGGATCTTGAACAACAATGTTTGGGTGCCAGTCACTTGATCAGAAGTACCTATTTGTAAAACTTTATTTCTTTAGATTTTTCCAGTTGCATTTATCCAATGCCCAGATTGCATTGCAGACATTTTAAAATTTGAAAATAAACTTCCAGATCAGCTCTAAGAAGACTTGCTTAGGAAAGACATTTCTGGTCCCACATTAGACCACTTTTCGTCAGCCCCCTCATTTTCTTGGTTGACCCTTCTCCTTATTACATGAAAAGCTTGGAAGAACAGTTGGGTCTGCCAGCATTTCCTGAAGGTCACCAAATGTGGGCTGTAGAGAACCGAAGTGGGGAAAGCGTATATACATGAACTATCCTTTTCCTAATTTGGCTTTGATTAACTCGCACTGTGTTTTGGATTAGATCTCATTTTAAAACAAGAAAATTAAGAACCAATCTGAAAATATAATAGGCACCTTAATAAAAGTATAAATGTAACCAGATTTGAATGTGCACATGTCAGCTGTGCCTGGAGCCTAATTTGGGGGGGGGGGGGAACTCCAGGGGGGAGATGAAGCAGTTCCCCCCCCCCTTTTTTTTTTCCAATCTCCCCTCCCACTTTATAGATATGGCTCTTTTCCTTTCCTCTTTTTGCCCAGGCATGACATCCCTCTACCAGCACTACAACCTGGGCAGGGCTTCCCATGTTTTCTATCATTGATCCAAGGATTGGATTCCCCTTGAAGGAGTATTTCTTCAAGGGAAAAGGCCTGACATAGGGATAAAAGGTCCTATGGTTTGAGGGTGTGTGGTTGGTGGCTAGTGAAGTAAAAGGTATTCCCAGTAGTTCTTCATAATTCAAGTTTCTGTAGAATCTTACCCCAGATGACAGACATCAATCCTCCACCATCTCCTATAAACTGAACTTGAAGAGTTAATTTTGCATTCGACCCCTGTGAACCAAATTAGTGTGTGCACAGGCCTGGTTTCTGGTGCTTTTGTTCTCTGCAAAAATATTGGATGCAACTGTAGTTGCATAATCTTACTGGCTCTTTAAGGTAAGTATAAATATGCCTCCAGTGGAATGCATTATATTCATTTTGTTACCTTTTTTACTTTTAGGAACCCACGCATTGTGATGCCAATCCTGACCTCATCTTCGAAGATATGTCTGTGATGACAGATTTTGAACTGCATTTGCTTTGTAAACAGTATGCTAGTGTCAGTGACTTTAAGTTAGAGATGGATACAGTTTTGGATTCTGGAAAATTTAGAACACTTGAGCGCATCCTCTCTGACCTTAAAGAAAAGGTTTGCACTAAAAGAATATTCTAGTTTAAACGTCTTCTGCTTTTCACAACTTTGTTTACCACTGATTTACTGAATCCCTATTAACAGGCAGCTTTTACATGCTATCTTGATTTTTCTATAGAATACTACAGGATAGCTTATGACTTTATGGCACATATTTGATAGAACTGTACTGCTGTTCTGTATCACACATGCAATTGATTGAATAGGGAAAATTGCCATCCTGCAAAAGTGTTCAAAGAAGTGTGTTTAGGGTTGCTCAATGTTCAGTGCTAACAGTAATGAATCATATTGCTTTTCTGAAAAAGCTGTTTTTTTACCTTTTGTACTAATAAATAGGATTAGATATTCTAGTGTATATAAAACTGTGCAAAAACAATATTTAAAGCTTAGGGAAAACTAAATGTTTTTCCCTGTTTCCTCCAATAATCAGAATATTCATCCTGGAACACTACCATAGCCTCTTAAGGTATGTCTCAACAGCAGCTGGGTGGTGTAATTCCTAGCCTGGGTAGACATACTTGCGCTAGCTCTACTTGAGCTAGCACACTAAATATAGCAGCGTGGCCATGGTGGCACGAGTGACAGTTTGGACTACCTGCCCAAGTATGTACACAGGTTGTTGGGTGGCATTGTACTCGGGTGGCTAGCTCAAGCCACCACCTATGCCCTTGTGGTCACTCTGCTATTTTTAGCATGTTGGCTCAAGCAGAGCTAGGAAGAAGGGGTGAAGATGATGATGGATTACAAAAACAAGATTATGGTGTTCATTACTTTAGGCATTTGTACAGGCGCCTCGGACAGTAATGACCAGCAAGGCTATGTTTCTTCCCTGTTGCAAGGAAAACAATTTCAAAATAAATCTATTTTAATAAAAGTATTACTCGTGGGGGTTTTTGTGTGTTTGCAGTTGCACGTATAAGAGATTTTACTGTATTTAACTGCTAGTGCCCAAATTACGTAAATGTTCAAATTAGGGTGCCTAAAGTTAGTAATCTAAATACATGTTTTGGCACCTAAATAAAAGTGATCTGCTATTCCGGGGTGCTGAACACCCCACCTCTTATTGAAAGTAGACCAGTTTAATTTAAGTGCCTAAATATGGATTTTGGTGGCTGATCTAGGCATCGAGGTTGGAAAATTTAGGCCCAAATGTATAGTGCAAATAAGTGATTTTCTAATAAAACATTTATGTAATTAATGTCTTCCCTAACTGACTTCTTTTCCTCCTTCCCCAGGGTGATAGAGTTGTATTGTTTAGCCAGTTTACTATGATGCTGGACATTTTAGAAGTTCTCCTAAAACAGCAACAGCACCGATATATTAGGCTGGATGGAAAGACACAGATTTCTGAAAGGTAAGTGAAACTTTCTTTGCGGGAGGTGCGAGTAAGTTAATGCACATGTGCAGTTGTTTTTCCCACAAAATTGAGAATTTCAGGTGTAGACATTCACTACAGCAATGGGAGGGGTTCTCCCATCATGTAGTTAATCCACCTTCTCCTTAAGACGTGGTAGCTAGATTGAGGGAAAAATTGTTCTGTCAACCTAGCACTGTCTACATGGTGGGGGTTAGTTTAACTAGGTCGCTCAGGGATGTTGATTTTTCACACCCCTGAGTGACATAGCTCAGTCGACTTAACCTTTGAGTGTAGACCTCTCTGTCCCTCCACTGGCTCTCCTTTCTCCACTAAACCAAATTCAAGTTTCTTGTCTTCACCATCTGGTCCCCTGATATTCTCCTCTTTCCTGTCTACCCTTTGTTTCTTTAAGCATCATCCTCTCCACTCTCCCACAGATGCCAGTCAATGCCCTCCTTGGCTTCTTCCACAATCTTTTCTATTTTTTCTTCTGTCACCTTCTATTTGTAAAGTGCCCTTTCTGAGCTGGTTTGGAAGGCCACTAACCTCTCTTGACTCAGTCTTCTCCTCCTTAAGATCCTCTTTAGCCATCTGATAGTGATTAGGATGTGAGGCACTTGGGAGTAATGTACTTTTATGTGTAAATTGGGGGGGAGGAGTGTATTTATATTAAAAAAGTGGAACTGAAAGGATATTACTCTTCATCCTGACTGCTTTGCTTACATATTGATTTCCTCCCCCCCTCTCCGCCGCCCCCATTCCTCTGTCTGGAAAACAGCTATTGTAATTAACAGAATTGTTTTTCACAAGGCATGATTTGTGTGTGCTTTAATTTTGTAGAATACATCTGATAGATGAATTCAATACAGATATGGGTATTTTTGTATTCCTGCTTTCGACCAAAGCTGGTGGCCTAGGAATAAATTTGACTTCAGCAAATATTGTTATTCTTCATGACATTGACTGCAACCCTTACAATGACAAGCAAGCAGAAGATCGATGCCATAGAGTAGGTCAGACCAGGTAAGTTTTTAATTAATATTACATTAGCAAACTGAAAGAAGTTTATGCAGTATGTGTTTGTCCCTGCCTGCTCTATAGTTTGGAGATGGTGGATATTAGGGAGATGGAAGAAGAAAAGATACAGGTAGTTGAAAATAACGTGCAGAGGAGAATGGCAGGCAAGCAGAGAGTAGACAGAGTGCACATGGAAGAAACTAGGGGGAAGATGAATTGGGACTTTGATAAGCTGGAGAATTTGAGGTGGGTGGTACATGTGATAAGAGCAATCAGCAAAGAAATTATGGGAAGAAGATGACAGCAAGATAGGCCATGAAAGACAGAGGATATGATGGAAGGACTGTTAGAGAAGTTGGAAGAGAAAAGGACTGGAAATCAAAGACCTATGAATTTGTGCCATGGACCGAAAGGAGTGCAAGGAATCGTGGGCACCTCCTGTCCCTTGTAAATAGGAAAAGAAGTCAAGAAGTGAAGTGAAGAAGTGATTGCACTAATTTGAGAGAGTTGGATTTTGGCAGGCCTGGGGTAGGCATGATAACTTTCTGGGAGGTATCAGGCTAAATAGCTCCGAACTGTGGAAAGGAACAAGTAATTCTTAATTCACAGTAATGATATAATAGACTTAATCCTCTTTTTTGTGGGTTTTAGAGAAGTACAAGTCATAAAGCTAATCAGTAAAGGGACTATTGAGGAGTCTATGCTCAAAATCAGTCAGCAGAAGTTGAAGCTAGAGCAAGATATGACTGCAGTAGATTTAGGTAAGTCTTTATTACTCATATTAGTTAATGTCATCTTTCATAGCTGTCCTCTATATAGAACTAAATAAATTTGCTACTTCTCCTTAAAGTGCAGTTTTACTCTGAAAACTGAGTCCTTGGTGTTGAAAATCCAGACTGCTTCCCGTGTCCCCTGTCTCATTGTCACCTAGTTTTCTCTTAACTTCTGCAATGCACTTATGTAAAATAGAAATTAATATTAAAAATACCACCAGATTTACTGTACTGATTATATTCACTTTCCTGGTTAATTCAATAAAAACCTTCATTTTTATTTCACTTGAAGCTGCCCCAGAACTCAATACTGGAATATCACAAATGCAGGGGCTTGCCTCTGAATACTCTGGGCATGATGGATGATTACAGTTGATAATCTTAGTAGTGAAAACCCAATGGTGTTCTACACATTGAAAGAGCTACAGTCAAGTCAAGGGGGAGGGACTTCTTGTTGAAGTGTAAAACTAGACAGAGCCTTGCTGCTTGGATGAACAGGGTTTATTCATGTGAAATGTTTTCATTAATGCAGCATTAATGGTTTGCTTTTATTCTGCAGGAGAAGAAGGGACCATTCCAGCAGATATAGCCACATTATTAAAAACTTCATTAGGTCTGTAAAATGTAAATAAAATAGCTGTGGATTTTATTGGCGAGAAAAAGGCAATGTGGTACACCCATGGACTTTTACATTACTGGTGACCATAAGTTTTATGAACATTTATAACTTTTTGTAATTCCTTTCCTGTATTTCTCATGGTATTGAAGATTTTTAACACTGATAGAATTCTCCAGATGCTTGAAAACAAAATGTGTAAATGCCACACACATATGTAGTGCATAAAATGTTGAATAATCCATATTTTACAAAGCAGTTTTAAAAATGGGGACCTAGTTAGTAATGACTTTACCAGATCTGCTAATGCTTAAGATTTGTCAGTATTTTTGTAATTATTTCTACCTCCCAAATATATATAAGAACTGTCTGTTTCACTGGATAATGTGTGTAGATTTTTTTTTTTTACATGTGCCTTATTTGACAATGCTCATGTCTGTTCATGCTTGTTTTTGTTCATTTGAAGTACTGTACTGTTTTTGTATCAACTTGTTCAAATAAAATTGTCTAGATGACCTGGGTCTTTTTTATTTGAAACAATGTTCTACTTTACCAGTAGGAACAAAATAAAAAGCAGCAGCTTTCAAACTGTTGCAGATATTCTACTCTAACTGCTCTTTGCTTAATCAAATAATGGTAATATTTCATTTGTACTGCACTCAGAACTGTGCTTAGAAACGTGGATGTAAAGATTGAGTTCCTGCCCTATAGAACTTTCAGCCTAAGGCCATGATCCTGTAAAGACTTTATGCACTGAAAGTACTGGGTAGTTCTGTTGATTTCAGTGGGACAACTCAGTGTGTAAAATGAAGCATGTAAGGCAAAGATTTAATTATAAACAGGGCACAAGTGAGATCAATAACCAAGGTAAGGAAAAGAGAGGAATCCTAACAGGATTACAAGCATAAGGTTCTTTCTTTAAAGTGGCATCTAAGATGGCCCTGAACTTTGAGAAACCTATGGAAAACAGCTCTTTGGAAGAGGTTATAAAAATGTTATGCAGCCCCAACCACCTCACTTGCTTCCTTGCTGCAGTTGGGGCTGGACTTTACCTCCATTGACCTCTCCATGTCTAGGGAAACTTCTAGCATTTTGATCAAAACTCTCTTAATTTCTAGTCCTGCCTTATAATTACTCTAGTTCATTAGCTAGTTTATAGGGGTATATCTACACAACACCTGGGAGCTGAGATTCCTAGCTCTGGTGAGAGATACTCATGATAACCTCTGCTTAAAGTAGAATGCTAAAAACAGCCATTTAACTGCAGCTGCATGAACAGTGGTTTGGGCTAGCTACCCAAGTACAATCCCATCTGACCTCCTGGGTATGTACATGGGTAGCTAGCCTGAGGAAGCGAAACGCAGTAAGAAGACAGTAAAGAGCAGATGAGAGGCCTGAGAAGAGGAGAGACAAAGAGCAGCAGAGAATTGCCTGAGGGAAAGAGCTGCAGGAAAGCTCAAGGAGAGCAGTAACTGTGAGCTGCTGGTGATAAGTTCAAAGGAAATGGCTGAAGGATGGATTAGAGCTGGGGAACCCTGCCAAATTGAAGGAAGGCTGGTGCAGTGGCCCCTAGGAATGAGGAGAAGAACCAGCATGGTCAGGATAAAGTTGGGCCCAGAAGTAAGGGTTGACTTCAAAGGGATTTTCTGGGGAGCAGGTGTAGGACTCACAGGCTAGGAAGGTTCCCCTAAGCAAGGGAGGCCTGGGGGAATTAAATTCTGTTGGGAGCTTCTTGTGAGAAAGCTGACTTGAGGCTACGGGAGAAGACTTGAAGGAGAAAAGTGATTCTTGGAACTCTCGGGTAGGAGATCTGGAGAGTGAGGCCCTGGAACAGGGATTAAGTAACTGTGACAGAGTGGTTCGTGACTCTCAGGTTGGTGACCAGGGATAGTGACCTCCTAATGGTATTAAAGAGCTGCTGTGTTATAGCCTTGTTTTACTTTGGGGGTTTGAGAGGAATTGTTTTGTGGGTTTTTTGATGTTTACTGCAAGAGATCTGTGAACTGTGGTGCTTTATATGACTAAAAGGGTTTGAATCTGTGATTTGCTGCTAATAGAGACAATATTCCTTTGTATGGGTGGCTGAAGAGGAAACTGAAGTAGGTGTATGGCTTGTTTCTTGCCTGCAATAGGGTTGCCCTGCCCTTCTCTGACACACCTACTGTGTCTTTTCTTTAGTCCTGGAATTAAGAACACACAACCTGCCACTGAAAGAAAAAACTGAGCTTCACATTGTCCAGGAGAAGACTAGAGTAGAAGTACAAAAGTAGTAAAAATGAGGCTTTCTCTGAAGGAACTGGCTCTCCGGTCTGTAGTCATCTAAAGCACAAACTAGATTAAGGAATCTCTAGGACAGTTCCAAGGTAGTTATTTTAATCTAATTTACCAGATTCCAAAATGAATGGTTAACAAGTGCCGAGGAAAGATTTAGTTTTGAAGGAGAATTCAGCTCTAGTTCAGCTGTGGCACCAAACTGATATGTAGGAGAAATAAGGCTTTCATTCATGCTTGTCTTTACTTATCTCTTCGGTTTACTGAATACTGCCTATTGAGTCAGACAACTTTAGACAGGCTCAAAATTGTAGGTTTTGTTGCATCTGTTTTTTGTTCAATACTGTGAAGTTAGCGAGTGGTTATTCTGTGGATGTAAAAAAAAAAAAACAACACATTGAGGATCCTGTGGCCTGCAATGTTAAACTGGCAGAAGGAGGGAGAACAGAGAGGAATAATTGGTCCTCTAGTTATCTTCAGAAAAGTTATTGGGGATAGTGAGAACAAATTGGGAGTGTAGGGTTAGAGCCGGGGATTGAATGTCAAGAGGTATGGATTCTGTTCTCCACTCTGCCAAATGCTCAATGTGTAACCTCAGGTAAGTAATTTAACTTATATCTCTGTTTCCACATGGATAGAACGAGTATATAACTCATCTTTGTCAAATGCCAAGTAAAAGACATTGTGTATATCAGTTTCACAACTTCTGTTGGAGACCCATCTTGGGTTGGACTGATAAATGGGTGTGCCCCCTTCTTGACAGTGATTGCTGCCATCTTATTGTATCTGTTCTTACTTCAGCTTTTCTATCCTTTTCCTTGTCTCTCTCTAACTTGTTTCCCTTATTTTTTTTTCTTTTCTTTTGCTGGCTCTTCTCTCTACTCCCTGCTTTGCCCTTCCTTTTATAGCTCCACTTCCATCACTCATCAGATGGGTACATGGTGTGCCCTTGGGGTGAGAGGTGTCTGTTGATGCCACCCAGTGCTCAACAAAATCTTGGCTACTGCAGCTTCCACTTGCAGCATTGTATGCGAGTTTCTCCTGTGGGAGCAGAGAGGTGAAGTTGGCTGCCTTTCAAAGAGTAACCAGCATTGCCTACACACACAACATGTTTGAGCACAACCCATGGGGATCTGGGTTCCTGCAGTTTTCCCCACCCACACTGATGGTCTGTTTTGCCCTGTGTCCCTTCCCATCCCTCCCTCTCTGAACTAGTTTTACTACCCCTCATATTGAGATAGTCATAAAGATGTGGAATAGTACTGTCAAGACAATTTCTGTCCATGAAACTTTCCTCATTGTCTCTTCTCCCTCCCCAACATGTTTCTCTGGAAAGTGCAGTGAAAGCAGAGTTGGACTGATCAGTTTCAGAATTGCTGTATTTTAAATCTTTGAACATGCGGGGGTGGGGGCGAGAGTGATGTACAGTTGCTGGTAGTCTCCAAACTCACCATAGCATTCCCAGTCTACCATGTCCACTTTTCCATTCATCTTTCATAAACAGAGTTAAATTGTTGATCATGTTGCTTTTCTACACTGAAAAGTATAATCAGTCACTGACATATATAGTAAATAATCATTACACACTTAAACATATATTGAAATGCAGTCTTAGTATAAATCTCCATGCTATAGTCACAGAGGAAAAAATTCAGTCTGGTGTATTTTTAGTCCATTTTATAATAAATTATAATAGTGTTTAATTTAATCTGCATCTTGCAACATTACACATGCATAAAAATATTAAAGGCCAAGTTCTCGGAAACTTGTTCTCCATTGATAACTGTTCTCCTTACCCCTGAAACCTAATGCAAAACAGAGAAGAGGAAGAATTGAATCTGTCCACTGATGTTTTCCAAGCAGGTGTGATAGACTGGTGTGATAGACAAATTAGGCATTGAGTCTTCTTAATTTTTGTAAATTAGTAACTTTAGAAGAAATTAGAGGTGCTGGGGTTATGTTAAAAAAATACACATAAACATGTTCTTCAAAACCAGAAAAGCTGATCTACAGTGTAGTCTTTGGTCTTTGCTGAATCCAGTCTGCAATAGCAGGAAGGGCTTGTACTCTCTCTTTCAGAGCCAAAAGTTTAGGGTAGTTGTCTGCCAGGCCAGGCTTAAGGAACCGAAGTGTTGTACTACACACATCCCAGTAGAAATCAGCCCAGGTTACCTGGTGAAAATGAAAAGGGTAAAACAAAATTACTCACTTAGTATATACAATCAAATAACAGAACTATTAACATCAAAGACCTGGTCTATACTGAATCCAAGGGCTGGTCTACACTGGGGGGGGGGGGGAATCAATCCAAGATACGCAACTTCAGCTACGCGAATAGCGTATCTGAAGTCGAAGTATCTTGGATCGAATTACCTGGGGTCCAGACGGCGCGGGATCAATGGCCGCGGCTCCCCCCTCGACTGCGCTACCGCCGCTCGCTCTGGTGGAGTTCCGGAGTCGACGGTGAGCGCGTTCGGGGATCGATATATCGCGTCTTAACGAGACGCGATATATCGATCCCGGATAAATCGATTGCTACCCACCGATACGGCGGGTAGTGAAGACGTATCCCAAAATGAGGATAGAGAACCACACTTTAAATTTGGTTTGGGCCCTCCTATCTTAGCCAGCTATATCTTGTTTAAATAAAAACAACAAGGAGTCCTTGTGGCACCTTAGAGACTAACACATTTATTTGGGCATAAGCTTTCGTGGGCTAGAACCCACTTCAGATGCATGGAATGAAAAATACAGGAGCAGATATAAATACAGGAAAAGATGTGAGTTACCTTACCAAGTGTGAGTAGTTACCTTCAATCTACAATTACAGAAGTTATCCCCTGATGAGGTTACAATCAATTGCTTTTAGTGTAAGGTGGTATGTTTAGATCCTATCCATGCTATAAATTTTAAATATATTGTAACTTGATCCACTGACTTGATTTAGGTGTAGACAGGGGTCTTAGCCTGAACTGTTTAGAAATCATGCTTGCTGAACTGATTTTAAAATGTGGGTGTAAACCAGTTCAGTTCATACTCAGTTTAAATATGGCTTTGGTCAGCAGTATGGACAGGATCAATCTATGCAAATTGACTTTTGAAACTTCCAATGTCAAACCCTGAGGCTTTTAAGCAAAGGCTGGAACAATTATTTTTAATTCAGTTCAAACATAGTTTAGCTCCATTCACACTGACCAGCAGTGTTTAAAATGGTCTGGTTCAAAACTGGTTCAGCAAACATGAGTCCAGGCCTGTGGGTGTGAAATAGTGAGTGTAGTCAGAGCCTGAAAGTGTGTTAGGAAGAAAAGCAAAGAATTAAAACCAACACCCAACAAAGGATGTTTCTCAGATCTCTGACTGTGAAGGTGAAAATAGTTTAACTTCATCCAGTTACTTTGCTCCAGTGACAACTGGATTTGGAAGAGGAAAAAGAAGATACTCACAGATTTCCCAACCAGCCACTTATTATCCCCTAAGAAACTGTCCAAATCTCGTAGTAGCCCAGGAGCTGTATTAGTGAGGAGGTCATTAAATATCTGTTGCTGCAAAAAAGCACATGTAAGTGGAGAGTAAGTCAAATCTGATTATTCTTGAGTGCACTGTTCATGAAACAAAAAATATAGCATAAATATGGGCTTGGAAAACTTCGTTACAATGGAGTCATTTGTTTTGATGAATGTGGCCTGAAAAATATTTACTGGTAAAATGATTGAATAGTTGTACCTTTATTTGAGCATGCAAGCAGGTATTGCAATATTCATTAAAGCTAACTGATGAGCTGTCTGATATATTGATGTTGAAAAGGGCATTTGTGCACAATGTCCTGTTCGCTAGCATCAGACCAATGAGCCTAACTAGCCTCAGTGAGTCCTCTGTCTTGACACCAGATACCTAGAGAAGGGGTGTGAACCCTCCACTGACTTGCAAGACCTGCACCGTGACATCAAACCAACAACTCGGGGATGTCACAGAAGCTTATCCTTTGACATCAGATCAGCAAGCTAGATGGGCTGAGCCTCTGGTCCAGCTAGTCTAGTCATCTGCCTCTGCCTTTGGCCAACACCAGCTGCTGCAGAAGAAGGCACAAGAAACTCTGCAATGGACCATTTTTGAATAACCTGTTTGTAAGTGAAGTTTTCTTCCTGCTAACAGTTGGTTTATTACCTGAAGCATGCAGGTTTATATCCATTTTGAATGTTATGCTAATATACTAGTGGATATTCTCATAAATGTCTAATCTTGAACCCTGCTAAGCTCTTGAGTTTAATGCTATGTTATGATAATATCTTGTGTACAATGTCCCACAGGCTAATGATGTGTTGGGTAAAAAAATATTTCCTTTATCATTTAAAAGCAAGTTTAATTGGATATTTACATATCACAGTAATGGGGTCTACAACTTCCTAGATAAACCTTCCCCATACCAATCATTTTATGTCTCATGTTCCCTTTTATTTGTTCCACCCTGCCCCCAAACTAATATTTTCATTCACTCCTTATATGGTAGCCTCTAACTCATATTAGTAATGTTTAAAACCGTGATACTCAGAATTCAGTGATTCAGGAGCCAAATTAGCAAACATTACCCAAAAGACCCCCCTCTGTGTGTGTGTGTGTGTGTGTGTGTGTGTGTGTTATTCTCACAGCAAAATGACTGCCCAAGTATTATTATTTTATCAACTACAATTGGTTAACATGGTAAAAGCATCCTGATTGGTTAATAACTTTGGTTAATTAAATCAGCGTTTTAATATCATGTGCTGCAAAGAGCCGCAAGAAACACAAAAAAGAGCCACTGGCAGCTCGCAAGCCTCAGTCTGAATATCACTGGTTTAAAATAATAAAATCTTGGGCTGTTCTAGAGAAATGCATGGAATAGTTATGTGATTCCTGCTGCTTAGAACAATGAATCTATAAGAAAAATAAGTGTAAACTATTATGTATGTTAACTGGTTTCATAGCATGCAACTGAAATATTTAGAGTTCTTCTTGCATAGTATATCAAATAAGATGTGTTACTGCCGTGAGAGTTATTTACTGCTTTGTTTAAAGTGTTTTAGCCAAGCAAAGCAAGGCCTTACATGCAACTCACTGGTATTTCTCAATAACTTCTGAAAACCACATCTGCTTAATTCCAACATTGCAGGGAAAGTTCTCTGTATCAATGAGCGGAATCTTATTCATTTTGGTATGCACAGCAGGGTGTACTCAGACTACAGAAGTGTGTGATTGTCATACACTGACCCCACATGGAGCAGCGTCATGTAACAGGCCACAGCACAACAAGCATGTCTGCCTCAGTTTCCCCTCAGGTAACCCAAAGGACTCCACTTCAGGCTCTTTTGCCTAAATATTACTTCTTCTGGGAGCCAGTTCGTTACAAAAACTTTGTATAAATCAGCTCATAACAAAAGTCCCAAAACATAGTCTGCCACCTCCCATGCATGTAGTCCTTAAAATCCTACACTTTCCAGCGAGAACCCCAACAGCCTTTATGCTGGAATATCATCTTTAGAACCTCCCTCGCTTCTCCAGCTCCGTCACCATTCCTCTAGGTCCAGCTCTGGGACCCTGAAGATGTCAGTGGAAAGCCCCTCCTCTGCTCCTCCTACCTTAAGTAGTGTGGCCCTGGCTGTCTGGCTTGAGGATGCCAGATAGCAAATCCCTTTGCTCTTGCTGCTCTCTTGCTTCTTATTGGAACTCATCATTCAGTTTCTGGAAGCTTTCATCTCCTGACTGACTCAATCCACTCGGACTCACTGAGTCTCTCACTGAACCTTTCTAGCTCCCAGGTGCTGCCTTGCCTTCTTAAATGGCCAAACAGGAGCACGTGTCCTGGCAAAAGGGCACTGGACCTACTTCATTCACATGGGCCAGCCACTGTGTGACAGCGATCATCTAGTTTTACTGATTGTTAAAGTCTTATTTTAGGTATTTATATGGCCCCCATTGCTATAGTGTCTTTTAATATGGTTATTCTTGAAACACCCCTGTGAGGTAGTATTAGTAGGTAGTAGTATACCCATCTGGGGAACTTAGGGACAGAGACACAAAATGGCTGGCTCAACGTCACATGGGAAGTAGGAATGGAACAAGGAATTGAGCCTCCCAAGTCCCAGATTAACCACCCATCCTTCCTAATGATACCATGTATAAACCGTCAAGTAAAATATTGTACCAAAATGGCTAAATAACATAATGGCCATACTGGGTCAGACCACAGCTCCATCTAGCCCAGTATCCTGTTTTCCAACAGTGGCCAATGCCAGGTGCCCCTGAGGGAATGAACAGAACAGGTCATCATCAAGTGATCCATTCCCTGTAGCCCATCTAATATCAAAACAAAAATCTTTATTTCTTTTAAGTTACTTGCTACCTTAACTTGATCTGATGTAACTCAATAAACAATTATCTGATAGTAACATCTTAGTCTGGTCAACTGAAAACCTTACATATTTCCCCTATTAGTGCTGTGTGCTGGCCTTTTGTATTTTTCCCTATTTTCACAATGATAGTCTCTGAAGTCAATTCAATTTTTGTTCTTAGTCTGTTTCACTTTCAGGTTCTCAGTTGCTTCCCTGTTTGGTTGTTGCTCCCCCAAGCCAAGGAGGAACCAGGAAAGCTTTCCCTATGCTTTCATCTGAGGAACAGCAGAGCTCCCACATGCTCCTCCTAATGGTTTTTGACTTAAAATGTCTTTCTCCAATGCATGTTGAGTAATGTCAGATTTCTGGGTTTAGTGACCTCAGAGGCTTGTGACTTGGCTCAGCACATTCATCTTGCTATGAATAATACCAAGAGGGACTGACTTTTGTGAGGTGATTGCTAAGTACCTCCTCCTTGGCAGTAGTGATACCCAGGAGGCTTTTTGAAGTTTTCTGGGGCATTGCCTTTCTTGTTGGGCTGGTATCAATGTACAAACATCTCTGAGGTCACTGCCTCAGCATTTCCAGCCTTTGTGAGGTTAATGGCTCAGCTTGTCTGTTTCGCTCGCCTAATGTGACCAGGTCTGATGTCAAAGAACAGGCCTTTGAGGGCTTCTCACTTAGCATGTCTTAACTTTTTTGGTCTGATATCAAAAGGCATTTCTCTGGGGTTCACTGGTTGAGTAACTACACCTACTGAGCAGATGTTCAGGCTTAGGTGATATGTCACTTTCTATCGTGCTGAGCAGATGACAAGACAGAACATTGTGAGGTTACTGGCTTGGCACCTCTGACTGGCTGTGCTGATGTCAAGGCAGAGGACTCAGTGAGAACTTCTAACTTGCTGGTCTGATGTCGAGAAGCATTCCGATGTAATGTCACTGGCTCAGCCACTCTAGCTTGTTTCTCTTAAAACCTTCGCAGTAGGCTGCAATCTCAAACCCAAAGGTAGCTAAGAGTCCTGCACATGAGGAGGTCCTGAGAGATGCAGCCATAACACTGGCAGTCAAGACCATTGACAGAGCTGTCAGTGCATCACCTTCCATTACATGTCTGACAAGAAAAGGGCTGGTAACTTGGACTTTGAGAAGCACTCATCTTGAGCCAGATTTTTCCTGTATCATTTGTGTTAGCAGTGTAGTCTACTAAGCATTTTCATATTTCCTTGGCAAAGAGGGTTGAGGTATTGATGCTTTGCCTTATTACTTGTATTCAGTTGTTTAATAATTCTTATTTGATTCTTGTTGTGTAGCACCCTGCGTGTGCCTAGCTCTTCACATAGCAAGTAAAGACATGAGTCCTGTCCAACATTACTTATAGCGTTACACTCCTGGAATTCTTTTTCTCTGATGCAGACTTTTTACAAGTTCTAGAAGCTGCCAGTTAGGCTTACTTTTATGCGGCCTTTGCCATTTATAAGGACTGTTATAAGCAATTTCACAGGTTCGCTATGTACTAAATACCCTGTGCTACCTCACTAAAAAGCATCTTTGCTGGGTTCCCTATCTACCTGAGCTTAGTGATCTGCTCATTCCAGCCAATGATTACCAGGTGCCTTCACTCCTTAAGATGGTGGGAAACAAGTCAGCATGCTCAACCCTCTGCAGTGTTGATGGACTCTTCCTAACTTCCAAGGCCATCCCACCATCCTCAGCAAGGCTGATGCAATGTCAGCATTGGTGGGAGAACAGGTTGAAAAAAGTGTGTGCACACAAATCACAAGCAGTAAATCAGGGCTTTTCATAGCCAGCTTTCACTACATTATATTGCCCATATTTAGTTTCTGGTGTTTTTTTTTTTCTTTTTCTAACGCATCCATGCTTATAGCATTAATAAGTTTCTCGTAGGGGTACGCTGTTCTGCTATCATTTTTCAGGTGTCTGAAAGCTGCCTGGTTTTGTGCATCACAAAATGAATGTAATTCCGTGCAGTGTAAATTATTTAAATGTTGGAAATCTCTCACATTCCAAGAAGCTCAAAATCTTTTTTTTTGTTACAGTAATTGCTAGGTTTCATTTCTACCATAAGATGGCAGCATTCCAACCCAAAATAGAAAAGTTTGGAACATGAATAGGGAGGAAGGGGGGCAGTGGCTAAAAGGAAGAAGGCTCATCAAGTGAATTTCTAAAGAAACGATATTCTAGCACTCCAATCTCTCCTGTTTCACCTCCTCGTGCCTGTTCCCCCCACCACCACCCCCACCCATCCACCCACAACTTGAGCATTGGTATGTTTTGTCTTTTTTCCCCCCAAGTGACTTTAGTGCTGGTGACATAAGCTTGACAGCTGGCTACGGTGACCAGACAGCAAGTGTGAAAAATCGGGTAAAGGGGTGGGGGGTAATAAGCACCTATAGAAGAAAATGCCCCAAATATCAGGACTGTCCCTATACAATCAGGACCTCTGGTCACTCTAAACAGGTCATAGGGCTGGCCCACACCTCCAGGAAAAACCATTTGAATGGATGTCACTTGCCTATGTTCATACTGCGTCCCCAAAATTCCAGTCCCCTTCCTCTCTGGAAGTAGAAATCCATTGCAAATGCATAAAACTGTTCCCAAGATACTCCTTTGAAGAGGATTTCTACCACAGACTGGAGCTGCGGAAATGGCATTGGTAATTGTACCATATTTCTATACACTACAGTAATGCAGCCTGATCTCCCTGGAGCTGGAGCTAGCATGTTCCCTCCATGTGGATCACCCTACTGCTAGCCCTGGAGGCATAAAAACTCCAGCCATAAAACAGGTGCCGTATAGGCTAGCGTCATGCAACTGTTCCTCAATTATTATGGAGGCAGTGGTCACTTCAGGGGTTATGGCAAAAGTAGTGTCATCCCCAAGGTTTTAAAAAAAACATGTTAGCCCCCCCCTCCCCAATGGATTTTTTAAAAGAGTGGATTTGGCATTGAGGGCATTCTGCTTTCTAAGATTTGAGCCTTTTTAGGGTTCATGTTTTCAAGCACTGCTCTGCGAGAAACTTTTCCTTTAAATTGAAAACTGTCATTTTCGCATAATCACGGGACACCAGCTGGGGCTTTGAGGAAAGAACAAGTATGAGACTTGTGATAAAAATCGTGAGAGCTGACAACACTTTGCACTTTCCGGAGGGATTCAAACTCTTAACATACAAAGAATACAGTGCTACCCTCCCCTGAAATTACAGCACTTCTCATGAGCACAGAATGAATTTTCTGAGCATTTACGAGTAATTTTTTTACTAGTTTGAGTTAAAATTAATTTAAAAATTTTAAGAGCTTTGGCATGTTAACACTTTCATTTTTGTTCTGAATGATCTGCATGATATAACCTAAGCTCTTTAAACATCCAGTCTAATTAAAACACATGGAAAGTTTGTGCATAAGTGACATTTCAAGAAATTAGGTTGTAATTAAACTATTATCAATTGTAGCTAATTACTGTTTTACTAGACTACATGCACAGGCATATCAAGAGCTTTTAACTAGAGCTATTGTGACACCACAAATAACTCAAGTCATCACCCTTCCTCTACAACTAAGGGCTAGTCTACACTAGCAACGCTAAAGCGCTGCTGCGGCAGCACTTTAACGTGGCTAGTGTAGTCGCTCTCCCAGCGCTCTTAAAAAAAAACACCTCCACCAGGGGCATAGCTACCAGCACTGGGGGCACAGCTACCAGCACTGGTGCACTGTCTACACTGGCGCTTCACAGTGCTGAAACTTGCCGTGCTCAGGGGAGTGTTTGCTCACACCCATGAGCGAGAAAGTTGCAGCTCTGTAAAGTGCCTGTGTAGACAAGCCCTAATTTGTATGCTGCAGTTCTGGTTGTAATGAGTCAATGGCATGAGCTAGACTGGAGTTGTCTCAAGATCTTCTCGTTGGTGGAGGATTTGGCCCAACTGTGACTGCTTCTTAAACTTTCCCTGGCTCCATGTTAGTTTGAGGCTGCAGTGCCAGATGAGCAGGGGAAGGGCAGGGGAACTGTTAAAGCACAGAGACGTTGAAACTTGGGACATTCCACCTCATCAGGTTCACCAGTAGACTTTGGCTGTCTTGAACTACTCTGGGGATTGAAAAGCAGCTGTAAACCCATCTTAACCAGCCAGTACCGTTGGAGTGTTGTACCTTGTTCCAGCATGGTGTATAGCAGCTAGACCAGTATATTGAATCTGGCCCATTATGGGGAAATAAAACTCATGACTTAAAGTTGATGCTACCCATCATCAAATGATTAGAAATTTCCTGTGGTAACATTCGCTTTGGTTTTCTATTTTGTGTTCACAAATAAACTTTTTGATTTAATAAAAAAAAAAAAAAAAAAAAGGAAATTACCAGCTAAAAATCATGGTAAGGTGGAGTTGAGGTTGAGAATACTCATCAGTAACCTAATAGTGGTAAATATTATAGGGATGTTGTATCTTCAATTATTACAGGAAAGCGAGCATTAAGGCTAGATTTAAAAGGTAACTGCTTCATAGTCTCTTCTCCTTTTTTTCTGTCCTACAAATCCTCCCTACCATCCTCGCTCTGACCTGTGATTCTTCATATTAAGTTGGCTTCCCAACTGATTGGGACTGGACAGATGAAGCTAGGGGTTATATATTGCCTGGAAGTCACCATTTTATACTTTGCTTCCACCATACTGCTAGCTGTCTGAAATAATTTGGAACTTCGCTTCTGTCCACTTATTTTTCAAACATGCCTTCCACCACTTATTCCATGAGTCAGTTCGCCTTCCCCAAAACATATCTGTTAAGTTCAGTGTCCAGCCCTTCATGCTCTTTCTAGAGTCAGTTAGTTACCAAAAACAAAAGGATATATAAAATGTGGCTTTGTTTCCTTGGAAATGCCATGAGGACATCTTTAGAAGTTATAAAGCATCTGTCAAGATTCATCCTGTAGCAGTTAATATATGTCATTACCATTGACATAATATTGCTGTTCTAAATAACTACCCATGACACTGCACTGGATTAAGCCACTTTACAGCTTTAGAGAGAACAGAGTTTAGAGGCACACCTAACTGGGATACATTCCCTAGTTAGTCTTATTTCCAGAATTTTGCTTCAGGTGTGGATTTTCTCTTGCTCTCTTTGAGGGAGTTGGAATGCTATTCATGTTATAAGTTAGAGCAAACCAAAAATTGAATGCAGTTAGAAGCTAGTTAAAATGATCTTAAATATATTCCTGGCCATTGAACTGCACAGTGGCTATAGGAATTAATCATGTTGAACTGTCTCTTTAATACGACTTGTAAAGTTGTAATTAAAAACCTATGTTATGTTTCCAGTTAGCGGAGCAGGAGCAAGGGAATACAATATGTGCTTCAGAACACCAGAGGGAGTGTCAGTAGTCAGAAGTACAGAAAGAATAGGCTGGCATAGAGCCGTTATGCTTCTAGAGCTAGTTACATAAAGAATCTAATTTTTTTTCTGCTAACTACTAGCTTGCATCAAAATACACTCCTGAGTAGTCAGTGAAGTGAAGGAGTTTTTTCTGATTCAGCCTGTCCTCCCGTTTAATAATCATGTATTGATATTTGGCATTTGTATAGATAGCACCCTCCATCCAAGATAAGCCAGGGTGCTGGCTGCATCCTCCTCCCCACAGTGAGGAAAAGGGGGGAAGCAGAAATCCTTGGCTGGTTGCTCAGTAGTCTGGAGGAAGAATTGCAGAGGAAACCTCGCTATCTGCCTCCCAGCTTATTGAGTGGCAGTGGAGCTGGGCGACTGACCATGTGACATCAGGGACCAGTGTACAGATGTCAGCCCAGATGAGAGACTTTGGCAGGTATAAATCTCTTTGATTTAAATCAGTGATCACATTACTTTCACATCCTGATTTTTCTCTCCCCAGGGAAACATTGACATGAAGTCATCAATGGTGTCCACAATGGCATCAACCAGAGCTTGTTCCAGAGGTGTCTGACCAGCCAGACCTGTGGAATTCAAATTTAGAAAGGGAGAGTAAAGAGACACTATCTGCACAAATAGGTTATTCCTAAAAATAAGGTGTTTGTGCTCATACCAATGCAAACTCAAACGCTGCAGAGCTTTTATCTATCTCCCTAGCTGCTTCTGACCCCGCACATCCAGCACTTGCCTCAGCTCTAGTGCTCCATAACTGAACTCATCCTCCTGCCTCTCTGCTCCATCTTCACTCACTGACAAGTCTGTCCTTCCTGTCTCCCAGCCCCACAATCTTCCCTCCCCAGACCTTCACAAAGCCTTGAAACAATTTTTTTCACTATCATCAGACTCCACCCTTTCTTGTCCCAACTGCCAGGAATCGCATCCTCTCCTGGCTTTTGCCTCCTCCCAAAGTGCCTCAGTTGAAGTCCATTTCCTTCCTCTCCATTTTGATATCACCCCCTCTTTGAAACCCTCTTCCCCTGACTCAATGCATTATATTCAAGTTCCTTAGCTTAACCTTGTCCTCTCCTACAGCTCCACTCTCATTCTCCCCCATTATATTTCTGCCACCTGCGGTCTTCCCAACCTTTTCACCTTACTCTTCCCTTTGTCTTCTTGTCCTACCCCACCATCGTGCCCTAACTCAGGCTGCCTGGTACAGGCTCCTCGTCCTCATCTCACTTTGTTCCAATTCCTTCTGCAAACTTCTCTTCAAGCAACCTCTTTTCCCTTCACCAATAACCCTCACACTCTCTTTCTGCTGAATTATTCTCTTCCCTTATTTAGATTTCAAGCTCTTCAGGGCAGGGAACATGCCTCTTTCTTTATACGTAAAGCCTTGTAAACCTACATCATGACATAAATGAGTCTCAGCAATAAAAGGGACATGAAATGCTGTCATTTACATTGAAATGACTAAATGATAGCTATGTAAATGTAACAGGCACTGGTGATATGTTTTCAATATGAACTGAAAGGTTATTTTTTTAAAGGTTCCATGTATTTTTCTGCCAGAGTTAACAGCATCACTAGAACCTTAATCTGAGCTGGGAACTGCATCCCTCTCAGTGCTTGGAGTGAGTTAGATCAACAGCTGTAGTAGGGAAAACTTTGAGACTCCCTAACTCAGGACCTAGTAGGAAAGTGAAGGAGAAATTGGTATGAAATAATGTGTTTTTAAGATGTACATTATTTACAGGTAGGCTGGGATTTTTGAAGGAGCCTATTGCCAACTCCAAGCATTCAAATTTCCTGAGTCAGTCCCCTAAAATACGATGATGTTTTAAAATAATACATTTGATCTTTCTATTTGCCTCCTGTTGGTGGAGTGATAAGGAATTAAATTTTCAAGCTTATCTTCGATCCTTCAGGTCTAGAAATGTACTGCTTTAATGAAAGTTGAGTTCATGTAATCACTAGTCCAGGAGCTTGGCTTCGACAAACACCAAAAGCACAAGTTGGCAACACTTGAATTGAGTGTGGTTAGGACACCTAATGCCTTTGGGTTGCTTTGAAAATCCCAGCAATGTTTTTAAGTCTACTCTTCTGTCTTTATCCTGTTTGCTTTCGTATTGATGCCATTATTGCAGTGTCTGAGTATTAAAAACACAACAACATTCTACTCTTACTTTCTAAAATGCTGGAATAGAATTAAAATTGAGAGGGGTGTGTGTGTGTGTGTGTGTGCAGAGTCAGGGGGAGGGAAGGTGTCAGGCATACAGTACTTATTGTGGGAGAAATAAGTTTAAGAAAGGAGTTCTACATTTCATTCTGACCATCGTCAGGTCATTCTTATCTCTTCTGGTCCTGAATTCCATAGCCTAGACCTGCTCTGTGAAAATCCTCTCTTCTGCCTGATTCCTGCTACTTCCAGGTTCACAGATTCCAACAAACCTCCCAGGTAGGTTGAATTCATTCAGGTCCAGCACCCAGAAGTTTCACTTTGTGTTTTGGGTTTACATCGACTCAAAAAGCAAATGAGAGAAACAGCTGAAATCATACAGCAAAGCTCCTGGGGACATCCCCCTCCTCCCAGAAAGCTCAGGCTCTGTTTATTTTTAGCTGCTAAATTGTGGGGGGAGAAGAAGTCAGTGGCTTTCAACCCATCTCACATTGGTTTTCGGATGGTAGCGAGTTGGTCCAGTCTTCTCTCTGGTCCATTTTTTGAGAGGAGCAGAATGGGTGTTAGCTAGTAGGCCAATTACGTATGTTAGTCTTCAGGCATAGGCAGCCTTCTAGCAGTCTGTTCCACAACATCCGCATTAGAAACAGTCCTATTCGTACTGTTTTTGCTGTAGCATTGTTGTTCAACTTTGGGGCTAAGAGATCTCTAAGTGCATTTGGCCTAGGGAAATTGCCATGTTGTGTCAGAGGATCTGTGGGAGGGCCATCTTCTGAAGACATTTGGAGGGGAGAGACATAGAAGGCCAAATGACCAAAACTGTTCAAATTGAGGGGAAACCTTGGGCTTTTGGGGAAGAAAGGGGTTATTGAAAGGGAAGGAGAGTTCTGGGCTGGCCCAGACATGTGGGATGTTTTGGGTTTTATGAAAATTTTGCAGTTCTAATAGGGTTAAATGCAATCAACACAAACTTGGGTATCTTTTTGCAGTTATAAAAGTTGTTTTAAAATGACTCAGACAGATTAGGTGCCTTGAACCGTATTGACTGATTCCTGGGTCACTTGATTTCTTCCATCCTTTCTACTGTTCTCCTCTTCACTTCCGAGTTATTGGATACCATATGCAAAGCATATATGCCTTTTAGAAGTATGGGGTTTAGTGGCAGCTTATAAAGAAAATGAGCCATTATTTGTGCTGTATTACACGGATGCTCACATAGAGCTAAAATTCTTACTAGACCAGGTAGATTATTTCATTTCTTCTGTCTGCTTTGTAATAAACTGTACATAAGCTGGGTAGAAACTCTAATCCTAGTTGCTATTCCATTCTGCAGTCATGCTTCTTTCCTTTTCCTGTTTGTATTAACCACTAAAATACTACATTTCTTTGTTTTTATTATAGCACTTTTTATTGTATCTAATATTTGGCACTTTTTGGTGTGTTATGGATTGCACTAGTGCTTCTCTCAAAATGATCCAATTTTATCAGACAAAAAGGAACTCTGCAGGAGGCCAGACTTTCTCAGGGAAGCAGACATGGATAAGGCTATTTTACTACATTTTAAAGAGTTTTTTCAGACTGGAAAATATAACCGTGTTTGGAAACATTTGAAAAGGAAGATTACATCTGTTTGCTCATGATATGAAAGAGGCAACAAAAATGTACTACCAAGTTCCCATTATCTATTTGCATAAATTCAGCACACCCTGAGAATATCCTCCTTCATCCATGTTAGTCTTGCAAATGGATTTGAATGATGGTTGATGGATAACTCCTAAAACAAACCCTGGTTCCTGTAACTTTGATTATTATTGACATTACTCAAGAATCTTATTTCACATTGTCTAAGCAGCTGAGTAATAATCTCTGTCACAGAACATAGAATTTAGAGTTGGGAGTGATCTTATTGGGTGATCTAGCCTCATAGCCAGAGTGGGATTGTGCCCTAAGCATATTTTCTAAGTGCTCTGTCCGGGTTAGTTTAACAGTTTCCAGAAACAAGACTTTCCAGCCTTGAAAGACAGTTTGACAGTACCGTGCACTGAGAGGTACCATGTCTAACCTCCATTTCCCACAGCATAAGAGCCCAAAAGCCTAGCCTGATGAAATACAGCCCACGACATCTTAGAAAACCACAGCTATCCTCTCCCTGTATCTGCAAAGTGAGGGCAAAGCTGTAAGATTTTTGTTGCTGGTAAACTCAGATGATAAGCAGCGTACTGATCTCTCAAGGAGATATAAGTTCAAGCAGACATTATGTTGAGTATCATTTATAGTTAATTTTTTTAAGTATGTAAATTTATATGCAAATTTGGAGCTATATAAAGTGACTTAAAATGTGCGTACCTCAGGCCTTGAGTTTATACAACAGGTATACTCTTGTCCGGCACCTGTTAATCCCCATGTAGTATCTGTATGTCCCTTAAATACTGTAGTCATAATCTTGTTGATCTTCACTGTGTAGCTGTAATTTATAGATGATGTACAGCTTGATCTTGTCACAGGATGCTTTGACTATGTTGCTTTTGAAAAGCAGAGACAATGCCAGCTGGTTGGGTGGAAGCTGCAGTTGTTCTGAACTCTTTAAACAATTTAGCAGGGAGAATTTACAAATTTTATGTTTTTTGATTGCTGTAAAGGAGAGAAGAGGGGAGTTCAGTATGGGATGTGTCTGCATTGCAGATGCAACAAGGATGAGCAGAAAGGAGGAAAGGTATTTGTATTATTGTAGTGCCTACATGTCCTAGACAGGATTGGGAAGTCCACTGTGCTAGGTACTATATAAACACACATGAAGAGAGAGAGTCCCTGACCCGAGGAGTTTATCATCTTAATTTAGTCTAGTTTACTCTAGTTTTCTCCAAACTGCATCATCTTATATTGAAGTTAGTGAGAAAATCACACTCTTATTTGTTTGTACTGATTTCTAACTGGGTTGGATTCTAATAGTTCTAGATTCCCACGACAAGGTGTGGAAATCCGACTGCTTGAGACTTTTAAAACTAGACTGGATAAAACACAAGCAAACTTAACCTTAATTATAGCAGAGCTAGCATTCTGCTATAATACATCGGAGAGAACAAGCTGGCATGATCAGGGAGCTGGACAATGGGATTGTAGTTTTTCTAAATTCTATGAAAGGCAGAAACCAATGCAAGAAGTCTCACTGTGTGTGTGTGTGTGTGTGTGTGTGTGTGTGTGTGTGTGTGTGTGT